CGAAGGACGAAACCACGTTGAGCCAAAAGACCAGAAGCGACCGTAACGACGAAGTTCGAGACCAAGCGTATGCCAAGCATTCGAAACCAATATATCGACTGAGTGCGTTGACAAGAGCGTGGGTGGCCAATCCAGCTTTCGCCAAAGTTGACTGAAGTCGACGGAACCAAACGGAGATGGTCGAAGGCGTGGGCGAATTGGCTTCTTTGGAAGATTTGACCAGAAGCTGAGGCGTGTTCCAAAATACGGGTCACCAATTGTATTCGAATTGGGATTACCAATTGTAGCGTGGCGTCGAGTTGAGATTAACTGTGAACACCGCTACCAAGAAACACGTGCCAATTAGATCAGAAGGCGTAGGAAGCTCGTTCCAAATGACTCCATAAAATCCCCGAGAAGCCGAATACCAGAAGGTAATTAATGGACCAAGTCGATGTTTATTTGCTGGCGATCTTGTGGCATCGAAAGGATACCGAGATCGTGCCAGGATACAAGCTTGGTTACAGAACGTAACCGAATTCGCGCGAAGTTACAATCGAAGTGTAAGTATAAGAATGGAAGAACAAAATAGCTGTCATTAGCACAGTCAAACAAAAGCACGTTAAAACAAACACCGGTACAGTTGGTTATAATAATAATTGTTTTTATTAAACCAGTCGTGTTCTCGTGATAAACGTGAGTCACTACACTGTCCAAAGTAACACAGACAATACTTATCATCATGAGGAATGGATCTCCATCGAAACTCTAGGCAAAACTCAAGAAAGCGAGAACAAGAAAACAGTAATTAACAACAACCGAACAAGAATAGAGAGTCGAAGCACAAGCTGAATCAAACGAGCAAGTGAAGAGGAGCATTAAAGCTGACAAGCAGAAATGCATGAAAGACCTATCATCGACAGTGGAAGAAGCTTCAACAGAAGGAAATATTGAACAACTTGTAAGATACAACGAAGTAACTGGCACGGAAATATGGTAAACTAGAGAGGGTGGTCAAGGACAAAGAAGGAAAGCCAATTACTGAAATTCGAGGACAGAGGAACCGACGGGTAGAAAATTTTGTGGAGCCATTGAACAGACCAGCCCCATTGAGTCCATTGGACGTCGAAGTAGCCACTGCAGACCTTCCTATAGATGTCACTCCACCAACGACCGGAGGAATCAGGATGGCCATCAGACAAATCGAATGTGGGCAGCAGGAGGACCTGACAATATACCAGACGAAGCGCTGAAGCAACTCAAAACATACTTCATGTTCTATTCAAGAAGATTTCGGAGGAAGACCAAGTGCCACAGAGACTGGAAAGAAGGATATCTCATCAAGATATCAGAGAAAATAGATATGTGCAAATGTGAGAATTACACAGGCATCACTTTACTGTCAGTACTAAGAGACGTTTCTGACATTGTTACTGAACCGGATGAAAGATTCCCTAGACGTCCAGATTCGAAATAAATAGGCCGGATCCCAAGTAAAGATCGAAGTCAGACAAATCTGCTTACTCTCTCTTCTGGTAGTTGACTGGATTATGAAGACCTCAAATTCTAACAGGAAACATGGGATACAGTGGACAACTAGGAATCAATTAGATTTGGACTTCGTAAATGACCTGGCCCCTCTATACCATACACATGAACAAATGCAGATGAAGACAAACAGTGTAGCAGCAGCCTCTTTATCAGTAGGCTTCAACTTATACGAGAAAGATCCTCAAATACAACAGAGAGTATCAATCCAAACAGACATCATGGATAAGCCCTGGAAATGTGGAATCTTCCACGTACCTGGATATCATCACTGATGAACAAGGAGGATCTGATGCAGATTTGACGGCAAGTAATGGCAAATCAAGAACAGAATTCCTGCAGTTGAAGAATATATGGAACTCAAAACAACTATCAACCAATATCAAAGTCAGAATCTTCCATACGAACGTCAAGACAGTCCTACTGTACGGAGCTGAAACTCGGAGAATTACCAAAACCATGATCAAGAAAATACAAGTATTTCTAAACATCCATCAAAATAATTATTTCTAAACAATTGTCTACACAAGACACTCAATGTCCGTTGACCGTATACCATCAGCAACAGACTACTGTGGGAGAACAAACCAGCTTCCAGCTGAAAAGAAGATGGTGAAAGTGAATAGAATATGCATTGAGGAAATGAGCAAACAGAATCATGAGGTAAGCGCTAACTTTGAATCGTGATGGGCGACGTAAAAGAGGAAGGCCAAGGAACACAGCGTCGAGAATTGGAAGAAAATACCAAAAGAATGAATAGCAGTCGGAAACATCTGGGAAGTACTGCTCAGGACAGAGTTGGATGGCGAAAGCTGGTGGGCGGCTATGCTCTTTCACAGGGGGGGTGGCAGTCGTGAGTAATCTATGCTTTTGATAGTGGTAAAGTAATTTCATGATTAGCTTGCTGGATTCGGTACATAACAACAGGGTTTTTTACTGTATAGTGCCAAGAACTCAATTATTTTTCCACAGCCAAATCAAGGTACATTAATTTGACACTCATTTTTAAGTCTAAATACTTTCTATCCCTTGTTGAATTTCGTGATATTTAGGATAGGCAACAAATCATCTCTAATTTGTGAATTATATTAGGACAGCCCCATAAGGTAATATTCAATGAAGTGTAGGATATAAAGCAAAAGATAACATTAAACCTGATTTCGATTGAACAGCCATGGCAAAACTCCCCGAGATATTTATCTTCGTACCGAACACGATGTTAAACATATTTTTTGAATTGTTTATACTACTTATGAGTAGCCATATCCTATAACCAACCGTCAATTGTTACCAAACTAAGTACTTTTCCTAACTGGCAACTTTCTAAATAGTGAGACGAAACTAAGACTTTACGTCTCCGTATTTTGCTAAACCGTCAGGGAACCTGTTCAAAGTCACTTACATCCCGATTAATTGAGCTACAAACGAAACTGGAAGAACCATTCTTAAGATTCATGTTCAGCTAAGTGGATATTAGATTAGGAAGCGGAATGGTAATACTTACTATGTACTGGAATAATTAATCTACTGGTGTGTTCGGACAACTTTTGGAAGAGACTGGTGGCTTTTACAGTCGATTCGTTAACTGTGTAATTTGACAGCCAACAATAAATGGACTGAATTTATGGCAATACGACAGTCATATGCTAGAAGAACGTTTGAAAGTCTTTACGAGAGAAAATTTCCTAGGTAAATTGAATGGCTACTTATTTCAATTGATATAGTATACTCAGGGAAAAAACTTAACACTAATAAGTTGATGAGTCAAGTAAACAAAATAGAACAACTAAACATGCTTATGACGACCAACAAATCTCAATATCTGTTCTAGCTCAAAATGTAAAGATGAAGCATGATAACAAAACATAAGAAATATTTTCATTAGCCCAAATTGTCTTGAAATAGAGATTTCATGGACGAGTGAACAGTCAGTCAAGAAAATATCCAACTTGAGTACCACAATAAACTAGAAAAGTCTATGTAACTTACGGCTACTTGAAAAGTCATTAACATCATATTACCCAGATTGTTCGATGAATGGAACCTGAGATGCCAATGATACATTCAAGTAATTCTACTAGTAGTAACAGTTCTCGCTACATTAATAAGTATAGATAGGTACTATGAAACAAGCGACTCAGGCTCAGAAATAGTTCAGACAAAAAGTTGCTATAGAATAATACCTATTCAGTCACTTATAGCTAGTAACCAATATCCGGATAACAGCAATTACTGGTTAACAAACAATCTCGAACATACGTTTTGCTGTGATTTCATCAAGAAATCTGAATAACTGTACGCCAACAACAAAAAGCTTAAACCAAGCGTAAGAATTAGTTTCTAAACAGGTCTTTTTGAACAACGTTAAGACTATAACCAATCGTTAAACAGTGGTGGACCCTGAATGAACGTTGTGGACAAGAAAAGACACTCGTCCCTTTATTAATCATACCATACATCTCCAATCGATAAGGTTATGTCAGTGAGTTGCAAGGTCGTCTAGCCTTTTTCCGACAACAGAGTCACATGTACAAAACTTATACATTACCATTCTCTAGAACAAGAAAACCATACTTGATCGACTGGAAATACTTCACAGAAATCAACTGTTCATCAATGGAGGATCCGAGTTTTGTGAATGTACTCTCTCAAGTTTTCTAACACATTATTGACTATAGCAAACAGATAACTAAGATTCATTCGGTTTGATAACGTCATTGTGACGTGCAATATAAAAGTTAGTGCTAATACGCAATCCTCCTACACACGAGTTCAACCGGCTACTCAAGTGAAAAGACTGAACGAGAAAGGAAGTTCATTGGAATCGATATTTATGTATACTCATTTATATATGTATCAGTCTCTTGAAAAACTAAGTTATAAGACGTACCCCATCTTTTCAAGTTGAAAACAAGATCTTGAATAACTAAGCGCACCTATGATTTGGCCAATCTTTAATTAGCTTAATTCATTAAACATCAACCAATGTAGAGGGTCTGACTGACTATCACATTAGAGATCTAGTAAAGTAATAACTCCAGGGATGACTGAAGAATTGACAGTAGATTCATGGCAAATTAATGTATGTTTTTTCAGAAGTCAGATAGATTTTGGATTCAAGTGCTTCAGTAGCAAAAGTCTGAAAGCAGTTTAGATGAGTCTAAAAAGTTAAACGAATGTACTGCATAGTTAGGATTGAGGAGTATAACAAACAGCATGATAAGAAACTATCAAACATTTTCTTGGAGATTCATTTGTGTTGATTTTTGAAGAAGGGTTCAAACATATTTGAACTTTTGTGCGGGAGGTCAAGATGACTAGCTGATTGTCTTACAGGTACCCGATCACTTACATAACAAGAGGAAAAAATCACCATGATTACAACATTTCTTTTACATAGGAAACTTGTAGTAATTGGGAATCGTCAGGATTCAAATAATCTTTTCAGATAAATAAATACAGATATGACATACACAGTGATCACAATAAACAAGGGAAAAAGAATATCACAGGCCACCAACACGATCCCTAGGGATTAACCGTAAATCTGATCCATGTTTAAGAAACACTTCACCTGAAGGAAAAAAAGCGAAAACAAGTTCTTAGTAAAATTAAATAATACACTATTACTGAGACTAAATTAACGAGACCCCTATGTCTAACCAGCAAAAAGAATGTAGAAAGGTTATGCAAGTTAATTAATCCACTATTTTTAGGGTCATGTAGGTACTAGTTACTTTACGAAAACCCAGGAGAAATAATTAAGGTCCTATCCACACTTTCCAAATCATGTTATGTGTGGTATTATATATATGACGCGGATAACTTACTCTTCATGGACATAGATGCATTTAAAACTTGAAAACTTGATTGCATAATTTAGCATTTAGGACACGGTTTCACCTTGATGTGGTAGTGATAAATATACATGTACATGTAAAAAGTTATGAGACGCTTAATCCTTCAGAAACGGAACACAGATCTTGACTGTTTAATTAAATATCTTGTATCTAACATGTGTACACAATCCTAATGTGATTGGCAACACATTCTGGAACCCAAAGAGGATACGTGGACACTGATGTGGGAAATCAAAATGCAGAAACTACGTAACTTTGAGTAAATGTATAAGTCTATTAAGAATCTGCTGGGTATTGGGATACAACAAGTAATACACAAAACCGCATTATAACAGTTCGACAATAAAATAAGATTCACCTGCTGTTTGTTGAGGATTTATACCGATCCCATCATCTGTGATAATAGCGCTTGTTGCTGCTGGTACGCTAAACTAGGAAGAGAAAAGAAAAGTGATGAAGCAAACCACTTAAGATAAGAATAAACTAGGTGATCTATTTCCAAATACTTTAAAAATTGTTCACATACATAAAGAGTTAGTATTTAGTCAAATACATAGTCATACATTTTCGTAAATTTATGAAGTCAGTAATTTGGTACCTAGGTTTGCTTCCGGAAACTATCACATAGGCAGCGCCAAACATTGCAATTTACTAAGACAAAAGTTTAGTGAACGGACTGACAACCTTAATTTGGATACATAGAAGGACAAGAATTCATGAGGTTTCTGAGCTAATGGTGCTTAACATTGACAATTAGGCTTAAGGACTGAATTCCGGCTACACTATGAGCAGTGGTGGGTAGACAAACCGTTATGATCAATGTATGGCGACAAAATTATCTGAAAACTGGTGGGGAAAGCTTATACCACGCCAGCCAGTTCTGTTTAATCGGTGGTTATTGGAAAAGTCGTTTAACAGGTTCACAAGAATCGTGGACCAAGTAACTGAAAGGATGTTACTGTTAACTTAGCCTAGAAACCAGGAACGAACATGCTCTGAAAAGTAGGGTAATATGACTGATACAGTGAACAATGTACGGTAAACTATTATCCTTGATGGATGGGTCTCTTTTAAGGCGATTCGCTCCCGCATGGCAAGTGGGAATTAGAGCTTAACCTGGGACAAGAAAACACACATCAGTGAATTATGTGTAGAACTAAATGTACCCTACGATGGAGTGTTGCTACTGAGATCGATAGTCAACCTGGAAATAGACAGCGACGTTACGAATAATTGAAAATCGAAAACGCATTGACAAGGAGATTCCGCGCTCTATCACATGAAACACGTAGATCTCTGGTCACCCAACATATAACACTTGTTTCCGAGATCTTTATTTCATGATAACCAAGGAAATGTCTTAAAAAATTCTGTAAGTTTGTTCGAAGTACATGGTGGCTTCTTATAATTGTGGACACAGTAGCGATACCTCTCCTTGACTGGATTTTCGCAGAAGCATACACTGAGAAGTTTATTTAAAGAAGAGCATGGCGAAATTAGACAACACCGACGTCTTACTAACCCAATGACCCTATATTGGGGAAAATTTTGTCCGTTTTAGGGAAATTTGGGGGAAACGGCACAATACCCCAAAATTTACACCGATCTGGGGGGACTTCCTCAAAATTTGAGGAAAACTGGCAAATGTAACTGGACTATGGGGAAAACCCCTTAATTTCTTTAAAAACGGTAGATTGGTAAAGTAGCTGTCTTGGAGATTGATAAATGTAGAATTCTACAGTACTTCCCCACTATAAGGCCGCTTAAGGTACTTATTGTAACTGAAGATTTACATGAGACAAACAAGTTCACCAAAACTAACTCACTTCTTCAGCAGCAAACTTCAAGACGGCAGTAAATGGTGCGTTTTCAGGAATCTTTAGTCTACGTCACACAGTAAAATATTATAAACGGACTTACACCTTGAAAGGTAAATTAGGATCTGAAGTTAGAGTGATTTTGAACGATATCTTTGACCTAAAAATTCACAAGTAACAAAATATAGGATGACGTACATGTAACGTCCTCAGTCAAACCTAGAGGGGTTGATAGTTAATGTTACAACGTTACCTCCACATACTTCAATTGAAAAGCCCATCACTTTATACCGAGATAAGTACATTTGTTCAGATGTGGGTGTACCAAAGTACTTAAACTAGATCTTTGTTATCTATTACCCGGAGCAGTGTTGTCCGCACCTGCTATTGAGTCTTTCAAGAAAAGACTAAACATTTACAGAAGCATACTAGAAAAGGGAAACATATGCCGTAGGCCTTCTGTCCTTACTACACAAATCTGAATCTAACATCGTACGTTTTACTGTCTGTCATAAGTTGCAACTCAGGTTTCGGAGTTGAGTAGTAGGAACAGAAGGCCTATGGCCTATGTTGTTCTGTTATATTATGCTTCTGTGTGTGTCAAGTCTTTTCTTCAACGAATCAGTTAGAGCTGAAAACACCATTGCTTCGAGAAACGGGCTCACTGACTCGGTATTAAAACTTATATGACATGGACATTTTGTTCCTTCTTGGATTTTCTACTCACCTGCTATGTCCTCCGAGTCGTCCTGATCTAGGAGGTAGAAAAAGAGATATATCAGGTCGAAAATAATTTATCAGTATTCTATACACCAAAATCAGATCATCTGTTAATCTGTGGTAGGACAGAGTAAAGAGGTCTAACTTTTAATGCCGCTCTTTACATGGCAAACACTGGAGTCCCGGAATTGCACAGGTAGCTGCCCTCTGCACGTTTTCCAGGATATCCGACTCAACTTTTAGGCAGGAGCCTGCAACCTGAACACAGTATCCAAGCTTAGTTCCCATTAAAATCGTGCATACTGTAGTGATCCGAGGTCTTAAGATCACGACCCACAGTTACCCCAAATTCCTTATGATACCTGACTACAGGTACATGCACTTCCCTCTATGCTGTACCTATTTAACTATGTATCCCCAAAGTGCATGTAGATACACTTGGCTGTGTTGCAATGCATCAGTCATTTCCTAGACCAAGTAATCAGAATATATATGCTAGCCTGAAGTGTTCATGCATCTATGTCTATTGTCGTTTCTCGCCGGATTTTTAAATCGTCAGCGTATAGTAACATTGGGAACAAAACTCACCACATCAACATAATTTACTCATCAATAAAAGCAAAATGTGTCATAGATTTCATAAATTTTGACAACTATAAACTCCTAAAATCTCTTCTCAAATAACTCTCCCATCTATTGCTCTCCTAGATAGTTCAGATAACTGGACTACAAATCTTAGCTTACTGAAGATATTCATAAAATTTCCAAAGTAAACAATATAGTCACATAGGTCATTCAGAAGAATTTAAAAATGCCAAAGATATCCAGATTTTGACAACGCCACTTTTCGTAGCACCTTCATCATCGAAGTGCACCAACCCAGTCAAGTCAGAAGTCAGGAATGAATGAGGTGAAAGATATATTTGTGAGATTGTCGATTTGTCGGCAAACGTTTGATCTAAGCTGGCTAGTATTTGCATGTGATGTGTAACAGGGCGTACCCATTCGTGATCCAATCCTGATCCATGAACGAGTGTCTCCAGTTACTGAATGTCCAGTGAAACTTAAAAAGTCGTTACTAGTCAAACTGGTCCAAGCCTGCCAGTTCGTTCAGTGAGAGTCAAAAATGTCGGAGTAAGGCTAATAATCTGTAGTGGCACTGGGCCCTAATCACAGAATCCTGAACAGTAGACGCTTAGGAAAATAGATGTTTAACATTTAACGTGAAGAAAAACCCAACGAAGGGAGGCGGGAACAATGAACAGAATTATTTTGGGTTGATAGGATGGCATGACTCCGCATTGCAGGCACGGTCCTTGTTGAATGTCACCTTATATCTTTTATTGATATTAAATGTAGTGTTCTATCTCTATCCTAAACATGTTCTCCATCATGTTGCGATGCAATGAGTTGGCGTAGACGATGATGTGACTACCACGATTAGGTCTATTATTAGAGCAGTACTAATATCAATGGCAATCGCAGTTCTTTGACTGATATTAGTGAGCTGAACTTGACGACAATGGCTTTTGCACACGTTATAGACGTTACGCACCATTTCAAATTGTTTCCTGCCCTGAGATGACCCAAATTTATCTCCTATCATCTCATAAATTGGCGAAAACAACAACGACGGAATCACACCAGTCACATTTTTCCTACCTATAAGTACATGGCCGTGGGTCTTAGGCATGTGGTAACACACGCGTCTTCTCTCCTCTTGATAATCAGCTTAGCGATTGCATGTTGGTACGCTGGGTAAATACTGTATTCTATTAAATTTTTGTCGGTTTGTTTTCTGTGTATCTTATAGCTTTTATGATTGGAGAAAATTTGTATCAATATCCTTCGCTTCTAATCGAGGGTGAATATCTGTGGACAAAATGTGACTTTTGTTCAACAACGAATTAAAGATAAAATGCGGACTGAAACTATTCCACTTGTATTCGTAAAATTCCCGGAATTCCTTATAGCAACAACTCCGATTCAGTCACGAATTACGGCGTGTACGTCATCCTAATCAACCAAACAACGTTTCGTTCCGAGTTGTTTTTCCATCAATTAATAATTTCGTTGCACTCACTGATGCTTCATTTGACTTAAATATTTCATACACATAGTTCCCTTTACTATCTTAATGAGAGCAGGAACGAAGATTAGTGATGGATAATATGAATTCGTTTTATTTCGTTAGGTTCACATCAACTGCTTACAACCTATTATATATTAAAACCAATGTTATTACAGATATTGACATACTTATAAATATGAGGGTGGTTAAAGTTAAATATGTGTATCATGATTTGGCAAAGATTTAGACAGGTTTAATACCATCATAAACAATTTTCTTTAAGATAAATAAGGTTTGGGAGGGAAAGTTCCAGAACATTGAAATAATGATTAGAACTCATAGGGTTAACGAATATCAGATGATTGCGTAATGAAGCAACCGTGAATGCTTTTAATTCATTTGACCTTAAACGTTTCGAAATGTGTTCTTAGAATTGTACGTTGACTCTCCTTTCTGTTTTACCAATGTGACTGCTTTGTCAGATGCATGTAAATTTGTATGTACAGTTTGTGATAACATGAATAGGAAACCAATTGAACTTCCATAGTGTTAAAGAACATGTTGTGATTTATCAACTTTTGAATGTCAAAAGAAGTTGATTATTAATTAAAAACTTGTGTTGGTACTATTATATTGGTGTGTTTTAAGTTCGTTGAAGCACTGGAACCTGCAGCCTCAGGTTAGGGAAGAGTGTACATTGCAATATATGGTATATTTCTAGCACAAAATATACATAATTTATATGATTTCATAACCAAGATACGTCTGTACACTCAGTCGTTGCCTAAATCTTTTCATTGATATAGCCCCTATTATTTTTGTTGTATTCGTTTTGCTGATTCGATGGCGATTTGTTACATCTGGCTTTTGATTTTGTTGTGGAATGAAGTTTTCTTCACATTTTGCAAGGTCTCCGACTTAACCTTCCGAAATGTCTCTATTGTCTCGGTACAGTTTGGTCAAAAATGTCTGGAAACTAAAAAGGGTGAAACGATGAGATTTTTATTCATTACTCAGATACTTGTCAGTGTGACGACCGAAATTCAAATATCTGGTCTCAACACAGAAGACAATCCAACGAAAACGGAATTTATTCGATCAAACCAAACTATTCGATTCTTCTGCTTAGGGAACAATCCTTAGGAAATCGATGATCATATCACGACAAAAGTTTGGTGCTCAATTTATGCCACAATATGTTATAAAACAAATTCTGCCAAAAAATACAAAATACCTTGACAACGACATGTGCTCACTGTACAGTAAAGATTTTCCCCGGTACAAAATGACGTGCTAGATATAGATCATCGGTTACTCAACATAACTTGAAAGTACTGTAACATCAACAAGAATATTCTCAACGAAACAGAATCAAAATCTTGTCTGCAGATATTAAGTCGAACAACGAACGTCCCTAGTAAACAATCTAAAATAAAAAATAATCAACCATTTCATTCAGTAAGGAAAGCTCATGTTGTCAATGCCTCTTCACCATACAACAGTAAAATAAAATTATGATGAGTAGAATTATTTGAATTATTGTATGAACTAGGAATCTCAGAAATAACGCAAATAAGGCCAAATAGAACTAGGTGAGCACAAACCAGTGTACTGTATTTGGAGTTCGAAATCAGGCAGTCATCAAGTACAAATGAATTATTAGTTTATACAAACACCACAAAATTGTAGAAAGTATTAAATCAAGCCAACTTATAAAAGTTTTTCGAAGAGGACGTAGAAATATAAAATACGGTTAAACAAGTCTTGGGTTAACGTCAACATATACGAGAAAAGGAAAAAAATCGTGAAATAGCAACATCATCAAATGAAACAATTTGGAGAAGTTTTCACAGTATTCATTCTGTTACAAGGGGATTAGGATACAACACTAAGCAACCTTACAAACTGATGAGGTCAGTAGTCATACGAAACTGATACTGGTTTACATAGTTATAATAAGCCTAATTACCTAAACAGAGATTATTATATATCTACTCCGTTTCTTGATACTCCAATGTTCAACTCTTACACTCAGGGCATTCATTTTATCGCCAGCCTAATAGTCTCATCCTCATTTATCTCTGCAATAAAACTTAATTTGTTTCCTCGTTACACTTATCCTTCTTCCTAACCATATTTCAGGGGAGATTCTCATGTCACTTAAGTACAACGTTTAGAAAGTCGTGTAGCTCCCAAAATAAAGCAGTTTTGAGTAGGGAATAACTGATGAGGTTAATTTGGATGCTCGTCGATTTGCCCACTTGAAATTTAAAACAAAATGCTTGGATATGATATGGTAAGCTAGTCAGAATTAGCAAAATGAGAACATCAACAACATCAGAAGTGACCTGAAGTACATTTCATTTGTTAGGAAACGGAATGTTTTCTAAAAGGGTATATATATATATATATATATATATATATATATATATATATATATATGAATACTTGTGTATTTTATTCGGTTGTCAAATATACTTTCTCGTCCGCTCCTGTGTTCTTGCTCAAGTAGTC